GCTCCTGCCGACACGTTTTTCTTCGAATTTTGTATTAAACTCCATTACAGTTAAAAAATGTGAAATTTCTGATACATTTCTAATACAAATGACTTGCATCAATAGAAAGCTAACAAAAAACTACATATGAAACATTTAAATGGTTAGTTGGGATTTTCAAGCAGTTTTCGAGTTATTGCCGTTTCAAATGTGAAAAATAAGCCAAAATCTCGCAAAATTCCTGGGTACTAGTCTGAAAACACGCATTCAACAGCTCATAACAGGCCTTAAAATATCGGTCGGTCACGGACATTGTCCGACCCATTCGTGAAATTGTCCGACGTAGAAAAGAAACCACCGGACATTCTGTCCGACCTAAGTGAAACTGAGGTTTATTGTTTGTCCGACCCGAGTGTGTTGGTGTCCGACCGAACTGTAGCTTTGTCCGACGTAAATCAAAATGTACCCTAGCCCAGGAGGCCAGGACTAGAGGCAGACTTTTATTATGTTAAATGGAAAATCAGAGTACTATTGTATAAAAGGTCAACTGGAAATGTTGTTTTAACGCAGTCGAGCGCGGGGCGGCGAGCGAAATGGTGAAGTGGAAAACGGGCTTAAGTTGTCGAAGTCTTTTTTAATACTGCTGTTCTGGCAAGTGAGTTAATTTTGGCTTGGAAATAAGTATGAAAGAAATAAATTATTTAATATCTTTACAACATTTACCGTTTATTCATTTGTGTCATTCATTATTTCCGAGTCAAAAATGAACTGAAGGTCATCGGACATATGTCCGACCCAAACTCAGCGTCACCGGACATTTTGTCAGACGGCCCTGGAAAAGATATTTTAAGGCCTGCATAACTCAAGAAGAACTTGAAAAACCCGGGTAACCGTTTAAATGTCTTATATGTAGTTTTTTGCAAGCTTTCAAATGGTGTAAGTCATTTGTGTTAGAAATGTATTTGAAATTTCACATTTTTTAAACTGTAATAGAATTTAATACAAAATTCGAAGAAAAACGTGTCGGCAAGAGGCCACAAGAAATTTTAACGCGGCCAACATACAGAAACGTACTTACTAACCTTCAGGGCACAATATGAAGGCAAAATAGAATTGTCCCACGATAACGTAAGTTTTTTCCTTCTATCTGCCCTACCGGCTATTTGTTTACATTATGAACTCAGTGCTATACTGAATTTTTAACATTCTTCTGGTTCGCTATGCTTGTAAATGAATACAGATTAGAGATTCGATACAAGAAAGTTCGGGTAAGGCCTATTTGCCGAAAAAAGTCCCAAATATCCAAAGAATAATTAAGAATGACATTCTAAAAATCGTAAATATAGTCTTCTCTGGGGGAGCAGTTCCCCCTTGCCCCCCCCCCCTGTGTACAGCCCTGCCAGTTTCAACTGGTAATATATATGCTGAAATAAATGTTAACTTTAGTATTTTACTCTGTCTAACACCAGATGATTTTGCTGTTCAATGGGAGATCAGAGACACATGACTGTGACACTAGACGGAAAGATGAACCAGACGTCCCCACTTTATAGCTCTGGAGCAGCGTTCGTTTTTATACAGGAGGACAAAACTATGGAACAATCTACCAAAGGACATAAAAGACATATTAAAAATTTAGTAACAAAGCTTTTATATAACGAGTAGGCTACATAATACCTCCTAACATTTAGGAATCAAGTATCTCAATTAAATAATTTAAATAGTTTTAGATAATCCCATTTAATAATGCAGAAATGCCTGGAAATAGCGTTTCAGAACTCTCAAGTTTTCGACCTCGGATCTCCTAGAGATTCTTGGCATCTCAACTAAAATATCTCAAGAAACGAAGATATTTAAAATTTTTTACGCAAATGGCACTTTAACTCTCCGGATTTTTTCACACCATTTCCGGTGCGGTTGACAGGGATACCAGGAGATTTCCCGAAAAGTCGCGCCATCGATGCATATAACAGCACGTGTGGTGTCGTGGTCACCAGGCTTGCCTTTGAAGCTGGGGACCCAGGTTCAATCCATGGTCGGACCTCTGCTCAAGTTGAGTATGTAATCCGACCATGGATTGAACCTGGATACTCAAGCTCTTAAAATAAATGAGGAGAAAGACTTAAGAGCTATCTTTACGTTGACGTCAGTAAATGGTTAGACTTAGGCGGGACAAACAAGGCTCTGTTTATATGGAATCGAGTTACTCGGCATTTGCTGCATGTCCTGAAAATACAAGAATAAGCGCCGACAAAAATCCGGGAAAATTTATCTAATGATTCGTATGTATTTTTGAGCTATTATATTTCAAATGCAAAGCACATACATTCTATCTCGGGCGGCCAAGTTACCCGGGCAAAGTGTTTACACGGTGGAGGCGAGTTACCCGGCAACGACGAGATCCTAGCTATTATAGAAACTTATGCCAGGTAACTCATGTTGGCGATCGAGTTCCCGGCAGAAAGAAACGGGCTATCGCCTCGACGAGATAACTAGGCGAATCTAGGTACCTTAAATATTGATTTGTCATAGAATGAAATATTCATGAAAAGATTAACATCAACAATGTTTTATTAACATAAAGAAGAACTAAGTGCGACAGATGGCGCTTATTCACAACTGAAACGAATCCACATAAAACACTGGTCGAATCGTGCAAATTTTAGTACTGACCTCAATGTTCTGCCCATTGTCTGAGCCGCGTCTGGACTCCGTGAAAAAATAAGCGATCGAAAAAATGAAATTGTGCAGTAACGATAGCACGTCAAAACTCGTCCCAAATCTATTGATTTTTTGTTTAAATATTTATTCGGCAGATAATATCTTTTTAGACCTGCTGACCTAGCTAGCCCGCATAATATCTTAGGCAGTCCACATCAATTCGGAACCCTATACGCAAATATGAACCGATTTCGCCTTTTCCAAGGGACAATCCTAGCCTGCATAGCTGGCAGTTGGGTTTGAGGCGTGTGCAGGCAAGCCAGTGAACGAATCCGGGCATAGCTAACCGTATGAATTCCCAAGAACATAAATTTGGGTACCGTTTGATACTCTTCCAAATTCTCGTCCAGTCATGTGTCAGGTGTCCTAGGCTTCGTATTGTCCAGCAGTTATCAGAGTGAGAAAATATTGTCAACACTTTTCATTTAGGTATACAGTCCTGTACTTGCTCGTAAATAATTAGAATTAAGAGACATGGTAATAATTTGCCTGCTCCTACATTTAATATGTCAACATTGAGAACGATTTGGTGTCCCACGACACTGATCCAAACCCACTAATATATATAGTTGTAAAACAAATAGTAAAAATGTTAAGGCTTACCTCAGAATTAGGATAGTTGAGACTGTATATATGTTTCTTTGCGCCGGTACAACAAAGAACAGACAACAGCTGCAGATGAACTTGACCCGCGGTGCCACGGTCTAAAGTTCGTCTATTGTGACGTCGTCGTGATCATGCGATTACGGAAATGCATGGCGAGGCGCTGTTTTGATAACTATGTTTGAACATAATATTGGAACAAAACCGGATGCATAGCTAGTAGATCAGAAATATAGCTAACCTCTTCTACATGGCAACTCTGCAATCTACAGGCTTTTTTATACTACAGATTTCTCAGGGGGTGGTTTCTTGCACTTCACTTGGTGGAATTAATATTAGAATGTTAGGGATTGTAATCACCTAACATTGTAATCACTTCACAAGTGAAGTGCAAGAAACCACATAATTCAAGTCCACCTTATCACAACACGCACACCCGTTTACCTATATATACATGAACTTACTGTTACAGCTCAACAGCTGGCCTCTGTAGCTCAGTTGGTTAGAGCGCTGCACCGGAATCGCAGGACCGTAGGTTCAATTCCTACCAGAGGACCTTGTGCTGCATTTTTCGCAGTCGTTCCTGGTGAGGTCTTAAAATGTATATAATCACTTGGATTACAATCCCTAACATTCTAATACAGATTTCTCACTCTTAGGAAATACGGAAAATCCATTCAAAAATTAGTTGTATCGAGTGGGATGCCCCAAATCCTAATATTTACCTATACACCGTACATTGGCAGCACCCTAGGTTGAAAAGTAATGCGGGTTTTTTCATTATTCATTATTTAGCAATTTTGTTTGGAACATATAATCCCGCAATAAAAAGTCATGCGTAGTTCGTCTTGGCGGACTATGCGTGACATTCCTGGAACGTGCAGAAAATACAGACTACAGACTCCCTTTCAACGTGCATGTAAGTCAATGGTTCTCCCAACCACGTGGCTTGTGTTTATATTCAGACAGATTTCAACAGATATTAAAACCGCCTCTTACCAAACAATGTTAAAATACCTGAATCTTTCAGTAAATAATAAAATTTTATAAATAATGAACATTTGTGTGCGGGGCTTTGAACCGACGCGGGCGGTGGACGGTATTCTAATACTTTCATTCCTATGGCCTAGTATTTATACACGAACTGTCTCTCTGTCGCAGGGCAAGGCTGCAGGTTTGATTCTGACTCGTCCCCAGTCGTCTCTAAAGGTCTTGGAAATAGAGCTCGAGAAATTGCTTGAAAATTTAAAACAAAGTCAATTTTCAGTTTCCTCGCGCTCGAATTTGCGTGTGTCTTGCAATATCTCAAATCTCGCTCGCTCTTGGTATTGCTTTGACTTTTACATTTGTTTTAAATTTTTGTTTCAAATTTTCAAACAATTTCTCGAGCTCTATTTCCAAGACCTTTAGAGACGACTGGGACGAGTCAGGGTTTGATTCGTGCCAGAGGGCAGATAGTTGCATTTTTGGCAACTGCTCCTGGTTACGATAAATATTGTTGCTCCTGGTCATAGTTACGATGAATATTGTCGCTCCTGGTCACGATAAATATTGTATATAATAAGATCAAGTACGGGATCAATATTGTGGATAATGCTTCCTTCGTCTTTTTCGCCCTGCCCCTTTCCCGACTCGGTGTTTCCCGACCCAGGCCTTCTCAATTTACGCAACGCTTTTGCACCTGCCTACCTTCTGCGCATGCAGATATATTGCTATCGTCTTGTTAGCTGTTGACATAATAGGGCCATTTATACGAGACAAAATAAGTCGCGACTTACATAAGACGCGACTTAAATAAGACGCGAGTTTGTCGTATAAAAGGCACAAAATTCTTATGTAAGTCGCGTCTTGGATAAGACGCGACTTAATAAATAAGAACAGGACTTTTAGCTGTTCTTATGTAAGTCGCGTCTTAAATAAGAAATTTTGGACAAACATTCTAACTACACATGCCCGAAACTTGAAACAACGTACAATTATTAGCCTTGCATATTAAAACAAAAACAACCGTAACAACATTATAGCTATAGCAAGTAAATAAGAATAAAGCCGTAGAGAACCATTTATGCGATAACTCCACTTATTTAAGTCGCGTCTTATGTAAGTCGCGTCTTATTTTGTCTCGTATAAATGGCCCTAATGTTAAAATGAGTCAAAT